TGCTCAGACTTATTTTTATGGTTTCTTGCAAGTAAACTAAACCTGTAGTGAAAATTTGTCACAAAACCTCACATAACCAGTCTCGAAACTGGCCCTTTTTAAGCACATCCTTCAGTTTCTAGAATATTAATTATACGTAGTATATAACCGTCACAAAAAAGAATCGACTAATTAGCTGTATAAATTATTGACACCTCATCATTAACATCATCAATGCTAGGTTTTGTGGTATATGTTGGTTTTGTGAATATATTTTCTATTTATTTCTCAGTGGCGTTATATTCGCGGCCGAATAATACCTTTGGTTTGTAGCCTGTCACACACATCCATGCTTAGTGTGTTACTAACATTTTCTGATAATTTCACTCTTCCGAAGGTCCAAATTTATTGGGAAATTTCTCCTAGCATGTTAATCCAAAACAATTTTTTAATCGTTTCTTGCAAAATTATTCCGTATTTCTCTTTATATATAGCACCTCAGAATGACCCTAAGTCCAGATGGTCATTGTAGAGTTCAACACTTACCTTTCGATTCAATAGTAGAAATGTTGGAGCATTTTCGACAAGAACCTATCCCTTTGGAACAAACATTTATATCAAATGTGACCGATGGCTTACCTTCTGATGCCTTGCCTACTTCTACGACTTCTACTCCTACTCCAATCACATTATCAGCTTACGTTGTCAATACTCATTTGACAGGTACTCGTGAACGGCTAGTTATTTGTCGTGGTTCAGTTCGTGCTAATGCAACCACAGTTGGTCGGGCGGCTGCTGCAGCTGCAGCGACTGCATCGGGTGGTAGAACTGGCCAAAATCAATACATTGTCATGTAAACAAATAATCGGAGTTAATAACTATTGACATACCCTGTCAAGAAGTCGTCTCCCTTAGATTGTTTTCCATCCCCAGACTCTTAAACTGCCTTGGCAGAGAATTGTATTATGGTTCCCCACACATAGATCTATAAATTTTTTTCTCTTCAGAATCTATTAAAATTTGTGCCTTGTAAATTAATTCAATACAAGCCTGAGCAATTTAATTTACTGTTGTATGTACACATATGTAGGTCAACAGTTCGCTTCCATTTCTTTTAGAAATTTATTGGATGCCATCCTCTTCGTTTTTCTTTGCATTATGAACTTGTTCATAATCATGTAAACATGCGTATATCTATTTTCTATTTACTAAATTCGTTTAAATAATTTAGAATGCATTTATTATCAATGTGTGAATTATATTTTCAAATTGTTGATTTTTTTTGTTCTTCTCTCTACCTGATCAATTATTTATTTTTCAATGGTTTTTATTTAAATCTAACTGTTTTTCCATGTGTCTGTAGCATAACATTATGGTTATCATAAATTGTGCAATATTGTTTTTCGGTGGATATTATTATTATTATTATTATTATTATTTGATTTTTAACTCTTGTCAATGAAATGCATTTGAGATATCGCTTCACATAATAGTCTAATTTAATTGAAGTAAAAGTATCAATTTTACTGAGTCTTTATTCTTATTGACGTAAAGTTTTGCATATGCTATTTTTAAATGGAATTCGAATTGGTGAATGAATCAGATTATATGCTTTTGCGGAATACATTCAAATAGTAGATTTTCAATTTGTAAGTCAGCTGTGTTGTTCCAAATTATCCCTTACGAATCATGCATACTCTAGTATTACCTAGTAATACAGATCATGGTTTCATTTCTGCTTTTGTTGAAATGAGAAGCAATCTTGGAATCTATATATATATATTGATTGATCTAACTGAATTTCGATACCTGTCAAAAGGTGAAAACGAATTTTTCATCATTTTTAGCTGATGGGTCTCGCTAAAGCATTAAATATACCAGCTATCGAGTTTACTTTGTGTAATTGTTATAATTCTCTCTTATTACAACCCAGTTGTTTCTAATGCTTAGTATTCTAGGACACCAATTCACTCGATATGTTCTCCCAAAATCAGAACACGGTTAAACAGGAAATAGATTATATTCTAATAACAGGGTTTGATGGAAGACAATAAAATCCAAAGGGAAAAAATGTCAGTTTATTTATAGTTTTCTAGAATGTTCCCCCAGCACCGACTAGCGCTGTTTGGATTCGAAAGAGCCAATCAGCGTGCAGCAACGCAATCATGCTTTAATCCAATCTATGTCCCGCTGACAGTAATGAACACAAACTAATTGTAGGGAAATGTTTTTGTTACTAGTAAACCATTTCATGCTAGTTCTTGCTTTTCAATTATATTTCGAATCATTAGTATGTTCTTACGAACTTACTAGAATAATAGTAATTTTATATCAAGTTTTGTTTCATTTCTCAGCATTGATTAAAACGAAGCTGAATGTCACGCATGATTAGATCTCTGTGCCTTTACTGGCTACATACCTGCCGTATATAGTGTTTATTAATGATACGAAAATACAGATTCAAAACAAATGGTACTATGAACTATTATTTATCCATCAAAAATGTATTAATGAGTTAAGAGCTGTTTTATAGTGGATATTAAGAGAGTCAATGATGCTATTTCTAAACTATGTATGATATGACAAATATGAAAAATAAGAGTGAATTCACTATACGGTAATACTAATACTCTGTAGCGAACATTTTGATAGCTGCATGAACAATACTTCGTATTTGTTCTGTCACATCAATTTATGCCTAACATACAATGCTGTTGCTGCTTTTTCGTCCAATTAATTCTCTTTATTTAATCCCCAGAGAGATTAGAGTCCTTTTGACAGAATAAGTCAATAATATTCAGCAATGTGGTCAGTCTTTTTGATCTACTGAGTTACTACTACTCAAAAGGTCTTTGCTACCACATTAACAACGGGATCCCGTCAGTACAACAAGATAATAGAAAGTACAAGTAAAATAAGCAAAAGAAAACTTCTGACATCAATGAGAACACCATTTGTCGGTAATAGACCGAGTGAAAAGTACGATCAAAGTGAAACTAGCTTGAAGTGCACGCATAGTTCCAATGAGCCTCTCTCAGTCTATCACTATAGGTAAACTAAGATTTCTCCAGTAAAAGCACAATTAGTGGGATCGTTTTGTTATTATCCGAAATGTCTAGCTAATTAACCACTCAGCCTAAGTTTGAACACATTTATTGAGAAGTGAGAACATTTATGAGTCTTGTAACTTAAATGTAAACTAAATATTTCAGAAATATGGTATTACGGCATTATGAAATAATTAATCCTAGGAGCATACATTACAAAAAATCTTTTTTAAGCTAGATCACTCTATCAGGTATAAGTTCATGGTTGTTTATTGTATGTTTACTATAACCAACGTTATGTCGAAGTACATTTTGTTCAAATTAACTAAAACACAAGAGTTTTCTCTGATAAGTAACAAATCTATAGCTAATCCCGGATATTAACGTTAGTTTCGTTGTAAACAACTGCAAGATATGATCCCAAAAAATTCATGAAAATATTTTTACAACTTTGCACTCATGAATGCGGTAGACTTACTTACTTACTTACGCCTGTTACCCCCAATGGAGCATAGTTCGCCCACCAGTTTTCTCCAACCAACTCTGTCCTGGGCTTCCCTTTCCAGTTCTGTCCAATGTTTGTTCATTCCTCTCATTATCTTTCTCTATTTCTCCGCGTAATGTATTCTTTGGCCTTCCTCTTTTCCTTTTGCCTTGAGGGTTCCATGTGAGGGCTTATCTTGCGACGCAGTTAGGTTCTTTTCGTAGTGTGTCCTGTCCAGTCCCACCGCTTCTTCCTGATTTCCTCCTCCACTGGAATCTGACTTGTTCTCTCCCACAGTTCGTTGTTGCTGATGGTGTCTGGCCAACGAATACAAAGTATTTTGCGTAGACAGCTGTTAATAAACACTTGTATCTTCTGGATGATGGCTTTGGTAGTTCTCCATGTTTCCGCTCCATACATTAGAACTGTCTTGACATTTGTATTGAAAATCCTGATTTTGGTTTTGTTTGAAAGTTAATTGGAGTTCCAGATATTTTTCAACTGTAGGAATGCAGCCCTTGCTTTGCCAATCCGTGCCCTCACATCTGCATCGGATCCACCTTTCTCTTCGATGATGCTGCCAAGATATGTAAAGGTGTTAACGTCCTCCAAGGCATCTCCATCAAGAGTGATTTGGTTGGTGCATGTTGTGTTGCATCGGAGAATTTCGCTTTTTCCTTTATGTATGTTGAGACCTACTGCTGAAGAGGCTGCTGCTACACTGGTCGTCTTCTCTTGCATTTGTTGTTGCGTGTGCGATAGAAGAGCCAGGTCATCTGCGAAGTCCAGATCGTCCAGCTGCGTCCTAACTGTCCAGTTGATACCGTGCTTCCCTCCAGATGTTGACGTTTTCATAATCCAGTCGATGACCAGGAGAAAGAGAAAGGGTGAGAGTAAGCAACCTTGCCTGACACCGGTCTTCACCTCAAACCATTCTGTTAGCTGTCCTTCGTGTACGATTTTGCTGTTGAATCCATCATAAGAATTCCGTATGATGTTAACTATTTTCTCAGGCACACCGTAGTGTCGAAGAAGCCTCCACAGTGTTTTCCTATCCATGCTATCAAATGCTTTCTCGTAGTCAATGAAGTTGATGTAGAGTGGTGAGTTCCATTCAATTGATTGTTCCACAATGATCCGTAATGTAGCAATTTGGTCAGTACACGATCGATCCTTACGAAATCCGGCCTGTTGATCTCGAAGTTGGGCGTCTACGAAGTCCTTCATTCTGTTTAACAATACCCTGTTGAAGACTTTGCCTGGCATTGAAAGAAGAGTGATCCCTCTGCAGTTCTTACACTTGCTGAGATCGCCTTTCTTTGGTATTTTGATCAGGTATCCTTCTTTCCAATCTGATGGTACTTGTTCCTCATCCCAAATGAGGAACTTGCTAAAAAAACGCTAACCAGAAAAATGAATGCGGTAGAGCTCCATGTAAAATGATAGCTGATTACCGTTCTTCACTAGTTATCTCCACAGTGAAGAATTAGAGTTGGGTGTATTCACATCACTACGAAAAAATGAACCGATTCACCGAACACTTCAGTCAGTTGCGACGTAGAATTTCGTACGTATGTACATAAGTTCATGTTGCCATACCACATCAGCACACAGACGCATTTGTCAATTCAAATCCCATAGTGGTGAGATAGTAGAAGAATTACTGATAATGGAGATTAGGATTTGAAGATAATATTCAAGAAGTATAATTAAGTGAGATAAGGTTAGAAAGACAAAGGTAGAGGTGCTGAAGATTCCAGAAGATTAGGATTTGAGAGAGCACAACGAATGGATGCACTTGCGCCATTGCAAACGATTTTGAGCCATGTCGTTCAAGGTCTCTAACAATCGGTGACTTTCGTCTCGCGCACCCCAACCAGGTAGTCTACACTCACCAACATGACTCAGTCCACTTGTCAGTGTCTTCATGGATTTCTGCCATGTTTTGGTCTGCCCGCCCCTAGCTTTCTTCCAACCTATCCCTACACCACAAAACATAGCTCGTCGAGGCAGTCGGTGGTTAGGCATTCGTAACACATGTCCCAACCACCTCAACTGATTCACCGAGCACTTAGATATGTGTGCACTGGTGGTAATAGTCGACTAACTAAACCGAAGTTAGAGCGGGACTCTGACCTGGGACCTTACTACTAGTAAGTAGGCATTATAGGAACCACTGGTATATGTTTGGTAGCTGGTGATTAGGTATCTCTACAAGCATCTACATTCAGTCAGTATTTGTCGACAGAACTTAGTAATATGACAAACACATTAGCCATAGAATCACTTTATTGGTTATTCTTTAAAATAAACAGCAAATTTTTGTCACACTAGTTCGATGTCTACTAGTAGATTCACTACAGTGATATAGAGTATAAAGACGTTTACACTGACGAAACTTTTTATTAAATTATGAAATCAGTGACTCGCTGCCCAATCGGTCTGATGTGATTGATAAGAAACTTCGACGCTTTATTTCGACAGCAATACTATCAGTGAAACCTTCAAATTCATAAATTTAAAGTAATATTCTTTGAAGCAGTATTCTATTAATGAGTGGAATCTACCAACAATCACATCAGTGAGGCGATTATGGAATACATTTACATAAAACCTATTGTTTCACTGGTAATATCAGTCAACAACAACGTAGAACTTCGTACGTTCATCACTTCAGTTTGCCGTACGGCATTAGCACATAGATGCAATTGTCAATTCAAATACCATAGTGGTAGAGATAGTAGAAGTAGGAGTACAATTCATTGGAATAAATTTGAGAAAAGATAGTTATGAGGAATTTAGATTAGAATTTGGGAGAACACAAAGAGTAGATGTACCTGCGCCATTGCAAAGGATTTCGAGCCATCTCATTCAACGTCTATAGCCATCGGTAACTGTCGTCTCGCGGATCCCAACCAGGTAGCCTACATCTACCAACGTGACTCAGTACACTTGTCAGTGTCATGGATTTCTGCAATGTTTTGGTCTGGCCGCCCCTAGCTTTCTTCGAACCTACCCCTACACCACAAAACATAGCTCGTCAGGACAATCGGCGGTTGGACATTCGTAGCGCATGTCTCAACCATTTCAACTGATGAAGTTTTACTGATTTGTTTATTGATCTGCCACCATTACCAAGTACTCATTTCCTAACAACAGCATAGACTACTCGGTGGTCCCAGGACATTCAAGCTATGTTTCGAAGACGCCAATGATCAAATAGTACTTAACTACGAATAATTCCTATTCTTACTGTACATCTTTCACACCAATAAAGTAGAACAGAGTGAAATGATGCGCAGTAAACCCGTCCTTTGGTTGTTGGACCGATATTAACCTAAAACATTGTACGTCCAACACTCAGTAAACGATGTTATCACATGAAATGTTGGACTATAATAGTGTATCAGCTACTCCCCTTTAGTGAATGCATCATTAAGAGAGAATACGGTGATCTGTCAATAAATGTTAGTAATGACGTATAGGTAGTTCCAACTACAAAGACCATGTAAACTTAATGTTAACTGCAGATGAGGACATCAAGTGAAATGACAGTTGCTGTAACATTAATTTTACAAGTGATACAACAATTGTAGCCATGACCGCTGCATATGAGGACTGAAACCTAAGTCTGAAACGACAGGTGAGTTAATGAATCTCACCTTAAAAATGTCTAGCACTAAAGGGTGGGATTTCCGTAAGTCTCGATCACTAAGTTCTGTAAGGGAAAGAAGTGTAAACCACGACACCACAGTTCTTGAGTCAAACCATTAGCGGACGAGGTCTGAACAGTCCTAGTAATAAATCTAGATAAAAATAAGCTATTGTTACAGATTATCAAGTTCCACCAGATTCTTTAACAGGAATGTTACCCATCCGTGGATGAAGATTGACTCATTGCAACTCTCTTTCAAATACAAGAATCTGGTTATGTTACCGCTAAACGTTATTTGCTGAGATCACTGGACATGTAATTGACTACTAACCATAAATACTAAAATTCCCCTTGTCGAAGGGGGATCTCTAACTAGATATTAAATACAACGATTACATATAATTGACGTAATGAGCTCACATACATCTGCCACTCATATAGAGACATCTTTCAAGCGGTGTGTCTACCGATGCTGTTTCATAAACAGACTTCTACACATAGAATAAGATTTAGAAATGAAAACTAAAAACAGGATTCCCGTGTTGAACGTTAAGCGACAAGCGTTAACATCAAGCCATATACAATTAACTAGAAACAAAAACAAACTACCGACTGGAATGAACGGGTTGGGTTGTAAAGCCCTGATGCAATAAAGCCGCTAAAGTGACGTGATAGATGAAGCTGTTGTGATAACTCAGAGATCTTTACCAAGCAAATGGTCACTTGCGATCATAAGGCTCTTAACTTAGGAATTAAAGGTTAGGTAATGTAGTGTTATGCCTGTTTGTACTGGCGGAAAACTATGCGCCACAGAACGATTACATTACTTCTAAAGATTTTTGAAAACGTTAAAAAGCCCTAAACACCGTCGTACGAAAATCTATATGTATTGCACTATTTGATTAGTCATTATTTTCTGTGGTAGCGATATTTAAAAATAAGTTAAGAAATATTAGAATCATTTATTACAGGGGACAAACAGAAAAGTACAATACGTGTACGATTATTCAATATACACACCTTAGGTTTTTACATAGTGTCTAACCGATCATCATCACATTCTCTGATATACAGAACATTATTACATCGGATCAGAACTTCTCCCAAACTCCCAGTATGGCAATTGTCAATATACTCATCCGTGCTGTGGAGTTGCAAGTTCATATACCTGTCTACAGAAACAAGGTACCCTTTATATTCCATTCCCCACTTCAGTTTAACAATGACCTGCTTCCCAGTTATTCCACTGAGAAAAGGTTTAGGATTATTCATTGCGACGTCCATTGTTCACACTGTATCGTTAATAATTTGTCACGTGCGCAACACGAGCTGTGTATCCAATATCCAATATCCAATATATATCCAATATCTTTTTCACGAGCTAGTGTAAACCAATTTGATTTCTTCGCGCTCGATTCTTGTTCTTTCGGTACGGTTCCAGGTGTTCGGTAATGTCCAATGGATGGAGGTCTAGCCACTCGACTGTCTAATTCTAGTCAGTTGGCAGTTGGTTGTGAGTTTGTATGTCTCGGGATTTGAATGAAACGTTTGTTTCAGGGCAGTAGGGTTTCTGGATACTAGCAGCCGTCACATTACCAAACCGGAGATCAGTTAGTTGCAGTGTGGAGAGTAATAAGGGTAATAAGGGTAAATTAAAATGATAATATGAGTAAAATTTCAGAACTGATGAATTTAGTTTATTAATTGGTAGTGAAGATTGTGAGAGAGGACCGAAGCGTAAGCAAGGGAGAGGAATAGGCGAGTTAAATTAATTAAGTGATCTGAGGAGATGGCAATGGTAACAACTAGCAGGTCTCAAGATATGCATCAGGCACAGCTTGTCCAAGAGGGAGATGATAGTCCGCATGTGAGTACGTGATTATCAAGTCTCTTCTTAAAGCAGTCCACTGAGGGGGCTGTAACTACCTCGGCTGGGAGAGCATTCCAAGTTGCGACGACTCGCAATGAGAAAAAGTGTGCACGAACCTGAGTGTTTGCTCTTTGATGTGCAATCTTTTGAGGATTGCCTCGAGGGGAGTGGTGGTGATGCATCGGTAAGATGCTCACATTGGGATGGTTGGGCGTGTTTAATATGGTGTACGCCATAATCAGGTCACCTCTGATTCTCCTGTAGCTCAGTGGGAATAATCCCAAGAGCTGGAGTCTATCGTCGTACGGTTTATTTTTCAGCCCTATCACCCATTTGGTTGCTCGTCTCTGCACTCGATCCAAGAGATTAATGTCTCTTTTAAGCATAGGGGGTGCGATGACGTTGTGAACCTCCAAGTGTGGGCGCGCGTACGTCTTAAACAGGGTTAAAAATAATTTCGGGGTTATAGCACCAAGTTGTCTTCGCATAAAGTGAAGAGTCGCATTTGCCTTGGCTGCATCCCCTACATAGTTCGGACTCGTGTGGAGGCTTTCTGTGGTTATTAAACCAAGATCGCGCTCTGAGGAGACATTAGGGAGCGGACTTCCATTGAGAAAGTAGGTGGTTTGCGTCATATGAGGCAGGAAATGCATGACGTGGCACTTCGGTTGGTTAAGTTTTAAACCGTTTTTCACTGCCCATTCCTCAATGGATGTAAGGTCCTTTTGAAGCTCAGTCGAATCCTCTTCGCTTCTAATGGATCTCCAGATCTTCGCATCGTCTGCGTAGATCAGTGCCGGTGAGCTAACTAAGCTTAGCAGGTCGTTAATGAATATCAGGAAGAGGAGTGGGCCTAGGATGGTCCCCTGTGAAACTCCTGAAGTGGATACTCTCCAACTCGCGTGCACCCTGTTTACCTTGGTGCGAAACTTTCTATTCTCAAGGTAGTTTCTGAGCCAAGATACGAGTGGGTCAGTGAAGCCTATTTCCACAACCTTTTCGATTAGGCGTGCGTGGGGCACTGTGTCAAAGGCTTTTGCGAAGTCGAGAAATACTACGTGCACTGGTATTTTACGGTCCAAGCAGGATATCCAACTGTCCCATGCGATGAGAAGATTAGATGCACACGACCTGCCTTTCCGAAACCCATGTTGAGCTTCATGGAGTATTTTAGTCTTATCCATGTACTCCCTCATTTGTTCGTCCACTAGCCCTTCCATAACCTTTGATAATATAGGTAGTAGTGCGACTGGTCTGTAACAGGCTGGGTCCTTTCTATCTCCTCCTTTGAAGATTGGAGAGAGAGTAGCTTGTTTGGCGTATAAGCATAGGGGGTGCGATGACTTTGTGGACCTCAATGTTTGGGCGCTCATATGTCTTGAACAACGTTAAGAATGATTCTGGGGTGAAAGCAACAAGCTGTCTTTGCATAAAATGAAGAGTTGTATTCATCTTGGCTGCGTCCCCTGCATAGTTCGAACCAGTGTTGAGGCTTTCAATGGTCATGAAACCGAGATCGCTCTCTGAGGAGAAATAAGGGAGCTGACTTCCACTGAGGGTGTAAAGCGTTTGTGTTATGTGGGGTAGAATGACATTTCTTCTGGTTTAGTTGCTAACCGATTTTCACTGACTATTCCTCAACGGATGTGAGGTCCTTCTAATAGACCTCCAGATATTGGCATCGTCTGAGTACATCAATGCCGCTGAGCTGTATTTAACCGGTCTTTAGTAAATGTCAGGAAGAGAAGTGGACCCAAGATGGTTGCCAGTGAAACTAACGATGTTGAGCCTCAGCAACTCGCGTGCACTCTAGTTACCTTGGTACGAAACGTTCTATTCTCAAGGCAGTTTCTGAGCTGAGATAGGAGCGGGTCCCTGTACAATAACAAATAGTACTGTAAATCTGTCATCATAAAAGTAGCATCTTATCCATGATAGTATTCCACTATTTGCCTACATTTTGGTTCGGTTAGTTGTAGCCTTTACTGTTTTGTGAACTTTTATCTTAATTAAAATAACTTATCAAGATAAAGATATTGCCAAACTGACTAGCCTTTCATTTCAAGTGTTCGAATTCAGGCACATTTCGTTTTTTAGTGGTCCTCTTACACCATCTATAGGTAATGGTAGCGCTACATTAGATTCATGAAAGAACTGATACAAATGCGTTTATTTTCACCTCATTGCACAAGGTTGTGGCCAACTTGACTCATTAGCTAGGTAGTGCCGAGCCCTAGGTTCGAGTCCAAGGTTTAGCATCAGTTGTTTATGCATATGCATCAAGTCCCAAACAGGACGAAATACTCGTCCTGGATTCCACTGCTAATTATCGTTTAACCCTACTCATAATTACTGGAAAGAATTTGTCTGGTTGTAAGTTACTACACTAATGATGGATTACAAATTTGACGTCACGTTTGCCATGTAGGAGATCATAGGGATGTCAGTACATGGCATGTTATCAGGAAGTTTCACTGATAGCTGTTACGACCTGGTCTATTTTTCCGGGAGTTTTCGATCCATGTCTGAAGGCGGTAAAAATGCCGTTTCCTCATCTATTCTTTGGTTGACGCTTACTAAAATCAGTATCGCTGTGACATTTCGATGTTTGTCAAGTATTATTTATTTCAGTATTTGTACATATATGTCGAGCTCCTAGGACTTCTTCCCCTTTCGAACTAACTAGTTACCCTTAACTTTCCGAATTATTATTGATTGGTCTTTTGACCTTATTATTGTGCATTGTGCTCTCTTCGCCGATGACTATAAATGCTTAGTCATTCCGCATTGGATTAAATTGGCTCACTCACCTTCTCCTTTTCGCTGCGCTTTTACGCCTCGTTCACTGGTGTATGTTTGCTAAAATGAATGCATGAAATATAATGATCCTCAAAACAGAGTTGGGCTTCTTATTATCGCCATCGCATAAACGAAGTTCGCCTAAGTAAGATATAAGGAAATTGGATGAAAAATTCATTTCACAACATAATTAATTGTTCATAACTGTCATGGTCAGATCGCAGGCCACTAAAGTGTTGATTACTACTCCAAATCTAATCTAGCCACTAAATTATCATCACAAGCTTTCATACCATTCATCATGACAGCTATGGCAACGTGATTCACACCTGTTCCGATAGTTTTTTTTGAACATTGATATGTAAACTACTAGTTTTCTCTTGATGGTGGTTTCCGATTGTTTATCCAAAAGTACGCAGCAGATGACAAATAAGAAATCTGGCTGAACACCACTACGTGCAGTTTGTTGTAACGAAC